CGCCAGCCAAGTCCCTTATGATAAGCCCTTACATGCATAAATGACTCACAGTTCTCAAGAATGTCAACCTGCTTCACCACCCAGCAGCCAGAAAGTTGTATTATAAAAATAATTAGAAAACAGTCAATCCTAGAAGGCTACAGAGTCCCTGACTCACTGACCAAAGAGTTGGTTCCACAGTTTTCTGATGAGAAAAATTGTTCAAGCATAAATACCTCATAATACAGGAGCTAGTGGGGCCATGAAAAAACAGTACATTCTTTTCTGCACTATGATGTGTCATCTCACCAGGTGCAGTGTTTCTGGGGGACAATTTGGCAACATCTATTAAAATATAATTACACAGAGGCTGGGGATGTAGCTCAGTGATGGTATTCACCTTGTATATGCAAGACCCTGGGTTTAATCCCCAGCAACAAAATAAAATTTAAAAGTATGCAAAAACCATCTCCTAGGAATTTATTCTAGATATGTCTTTGGATCAAGATAAACCCTACTAGGGTTTCTGTCTCAATTCTTCTGACATTTGGGCTGGAGAATTGTGGAAGGTTGTTGTGGGTTGTGTTCTGGGTTCTGGTGTGATAGTTATGGGGTACCCAGACATCTGATCAAGCATTATTCTGTATGTGCCTGTGAAGGTGTTTCAGGATGAAATTGGTGTTTGAACCAGCAGAATAGTTGTCTTATTCATTTGTGTTGCTGGTGGCTTATAAACAACAGAAATTTACTTCTCATAGTCCTGGAGGCTGAAAGTTCAAGATTAAGGGGCTGGCAGACTGGTAAGGGCCTGTTCCCCATAGACAGCACCTTCCATGTGTCCTCAATTAGCAGACCCGGGTGAACAAGCTCCTTTGATGCTTTCATAAGGGCACTGATCCCATTCATGAGGTTCCTGCCCCGTGACTTAATCACCTTCCCAAGCTCCCAACTCTAATACCACCATAACCCTGGGGATTAGGATTTCAACATATTAATTAGGGGCGGGGCACCACCTTCAGTCCACAGCACTGAGTAAAACCAATGGCCCTCCCTAATTTAGAGAGGCTACAGCCACCAATTTGAAGGCCCAAATGCAACAGAAAGGCTGACCTTCTCCTGAGTAGGGGAATAACCCCTGCCTCCAGCCTTCAAACTGGGACATGCCTTTTTCTTGGCTCTTACTGAGTCTCCACCTGCCAGTCTTTGGACTGGGATACATGGCCAGCTTCCCCCAGCTTCTAGGCTGCTAACTCACCCTGCAGATTCTGGAACTTGTCACGCCCTGACTGTGTGATAATAAATCACACAGTCTATTGGTTCTCTTTCTCTGGAGAACCCTGAAAAGTATAAAATGTGAGCAGCATCCTTGATATTTGCCTATTAGCACCCCCACCACAGTTGTGACAACCAAAAATGTCTCTGAACAGATGTCCCCTGAGGGAGCCACCACTTACACACATTCCCAGGAAGGAAAGTCCAATTCACTTGATTCAGGCCCAGGGCAGGGAGGTAATGCATATTATCTTAGAGAGGGGATGACTAGGAGCTATGATGGGGGACAGGGGATGAACTTAAGGCTGATGAGAAGAGACCAAGAGAAAAGACCTTTAGGGAGAGGGAGGAGCAAGTGCAAGGCCCCAAGGAAGGCACAAGCCTGAGATCCCTAGAGGCAGACACAGGGGAAGGCAGAACAGAAGGGGAAGTGGGGGTTTTCTCCAAGTTCAACGAGAAGTGGTGGAAGAACTGTAAGATGGGAGATAAGATTTAATGTACATTTTGACATGACCACACAGTTCCCCAAGGAGGAAGAACCAGCACTAGCCAGGCCCCCGACCAAGAGTAAAATGGCACAAACCCCAATAGGCAGCAGCAGGGCTTAGCAGTGACCACTAGAAACCCCTTAGGTTAGTACCCTGGGCTGGGCCACCCTTGCAAGGAAGGGATTGAATTCTTGTTCCCCAGGGTATGGAGACAGGGAACAGATGAGCATCCAATCACAACACAGTAGGATTAGGACTTTCTTACACCAGAGTTGTGGCACCAAGGTTAAGCCCACTGCACCGACAGACACACATGCCAAAGTACACATCAGAGGCGTGCCCTGTAGAGGTTTCTATAGGCAAACTGGAAACTACCTCCAAGCCATCAGCTGGGGACAGGTCATCCTGTGGTGCAGGATGGGGGATACATTTGAAGGAAAGGTGGAGAGATCCGAGGTGGCAAGAAAGACCTCCAGGTGCAAGACAGTGTGTAGAGCGCGGCCTCTGATAATAGCATTTTTAGAGTATACACTACACTCTTATGAATCTCAGAGCATTAAAGAGCACAGGCTAAACTCTGAATCATTATGCAGAACAAAAGGAACACAAGCAAAATCCCATTCCCCAACAGAAAACAGATGTGTGGTTACCTGGGACCAGATCCGGTGAGTGAGAATGTACATTTGTAACATTTTCCCAGGTGGTGCTGCTGAGCACCCCACTTTGAGAAGTACAGCAGTAGTAACAGGTGACTTGCATGGGGCATACCCAGGCAGGTGCTTTTATTTATTTATTTTTTTTAGTTGTTTCTGGATCTTTTTTTTTTATTTATTTGTATCAGGTGCTAAGAATTGAACCCAGTGCCTCACACAAACTAGGCAAGTGCTCTACTACTGAGCTACAACTCCAACCCCAGGCAGGTGCTTTTTGAAGCTGGTTACCTACACTATTTATTTAGTTCTTATACAACCTTATGAGGTTGGCACCATAGCTGTCCCATTTGTTGGTGAAGAAACTGAGGACGATACATTGAGTCATCTGCTCACATTCTCACAAGTAAGTGACGGTAGAGGTCCTAAGCTAGGCATCCTGGCTTTAAGGGTCTGTCTTCTTACACTGCAGACATACATGGCGTCTCCATTTTCCGAGGATACTGAGGCTCAGAGGAGTTAGAAAGAATTAGAATCTCAGTCTCCTTGCTGAACTGTTGCCTGTTGTCCACTGAGATACAGTTCATGTACCTGACACCTGCAGGATTAGGGCACTTGGAGAAAACTGTTGATGTGAGCTCTGTCCACATGGGCTGCAGAAAGCACCTAAAGAAAGAACACTCTTAGGATGAAACTCACCTATCTAAAACCAGAGGGTTGGTGAGGCCCTTTCAGCCTGTGGCCTGCATTCCCAGGTAAACTGGAGGCTTGCAGGGTTGATGGAGGGGACATAGTGCTTCCACCCCCCGCAAATCACTTCCCTTTGAAACTACCAGGTAGCAGTCATGGCATTTGGAAAGAAATGATCCCATCCCAGCTCCTTGAGGGGACTCACATTAGCCTCAGCCATGGGCCACTCTCCACATGGCATTCCCTGATCCTGTTAGACAAGCAACCCAAGTCAAGCCAGAACTATGTCTTATGGATGGAGAGAAAGGAGCTGTCTTCTTGGATAATGTGCCATGTGAGACCAGAGTAGCTCCAGAAGCCAGTTTGTAACTTTTCCATCCTCAGCATGAAGCTATGTGGAGAGGAGGGCAGAGAACTGAGCAGCCATAGGGTCATGTGTTAGCATCCTATTACCATAACAAAATACCTGAGATGATTTTTAAAAAGTTTATTTTGGCTCACAGTTTTGGGGGTTCCAGGCCATGACCAGTTGCTCTCCTTTGCTTTGAGCCTGTGGAGAGGCAGCACATGTGGCAAGAGCAAATGGCAAAGAAAAACTGTTCACCTCATCAGTTAGGAAGCAAAAGAGAAGGAAGAAAGGGCTAGGGTCACACAATCCCTTTGAGGACACACAAGGACCTCCCACAGGACCCCAGCTCCACGACTCTACAATTTCCCAACAGGGTCACCACGGGGACCAAGCCTTTAACACCTGGGCCTTTGGGGAACACTTATCCAGACCTCAGCAGGCCATAACCCTGAACAAGCTGCTCTTGGAGGTAGACTGCCTTGTGAAGATTCAAATACATACACAGATTTTCTTGACTGAAGCCAGAGTTCAGTTACTCGTAACCAAAAGCACCCTAATGGGCATAAGTGTCTCAACCTTAAGGTGAAAGGAGTGATATCCGGGTGATAGGGACCAGTACTGTAGTTACAACTGGGAAAAGAGGAAGCCTGATCCCCCAGTCTCCTTCTAAAGTACCTCCTGGATCAGAAAAAAGGACAATAACCTTGATTTTGAAGAGCCATGAGGCTGCAGTTTCAGAGAAAGTTTGTCAACTAGTGCTGCCTTCCTTCTCAGAGCCACTGCTTTGGAGATCAAGGTGGTGGCCACTAAACTGAGGGCAGGAGTCAGAATGTCAGGATTGGCTGCTAGGAGCCAAGGAGATCCTCAAGCCTCAGGTGGATAGTTTCAATGCTTTTTTTTTTCCACTGCATACTTTTGATGTTCATACATGCTACAGCTTTTTCTGTTTGTTTGTTTGTTTCAACCAACTAGTATTCATACCACATTGTGTTTACACATCCATCAGTTGACAGGCAATTGAATTTCTCCATTCATTGGCTATCATGAATAATAATGTCATATACATTCATGTACAAGCCTCTGAATGAATGAATGATTTCTCTTGAGAAGAATTCTAAGAATAAATTTCCTGGGTCTTATAATGCTTGTCTCTTTCAGAAACTGCCAAACTATTCTGATAAGTTTGTATCATTGGTGCTATACAATTTTACATTCTGACCAGCAATTTATAGGGATTCTGGTTGCTAGCAGCTTTACCAGCATGATGTATTAGCCATTTATGTTTTCTTTGCTGAAATGTCTATTCAAATATTTAACCCAATTTTAAATTGAGTTGCTTGTGAGACTGAATATACAAAAATGGAACTTTGACCCACTACCTGTAGTGACCTGCCCGGGAAACTATCCCCTTATCTACAGTAACCAGCCCAGGAGAGCAGTCAGCTATAGGTCAAATCTGAAGTGACAACTTCTATGATAATCCAGGAAGCTACCCATTAACTTTTGTAATAATTAGCCTGAATTGGCCAGGACTTGATCAATGACTGACAGCTTCCCTAATTTTTGTCCCAGCTTCCAGTGGAGGACCCACCACAGAAAGCCAGATGCGCCTACCTAACCCATCACATGTAGTTCAGCTGCCTCCAGTTTCCTAGGCAACAGCTTCACATCAGGGCTCACTAGAGTCCCTGCGCCCCATGGCTAAGCCCTTTCCACTCTTCTGCCTGCCTTTGAATCTCTGCCAAACAAGTGACAGTAACCAACACCCTTTGCAAAGCAAGTTCTGAGCATTTATTTCAACCTTTGTCTCCTCATTATTGAGTTATAGGATTTCCTTGTACATTTTGAAGGTAAGTCATTTATCAGATATACAATGAGCAAATATTTTTCCCAGTAAGTGGTTCATCTTCATCCTCTCAATGTGTTCTTTGGAATCACAACATGTTTCATTTTAATGAAGCCATTTAACAGTTTTCCTTTACAGTTTATCTTTTTGGTATCACATCTTTAAAAAAAATCTTTGTCTAAATCTAATTGCAAATAATTCTGGTAGGTTTTTTACTTCTGACATGTAGTTCCATTATGGTGAGAGAGCGCATTACGTATTTCTGGTCTTTTAAATTTGTGAAGGTAACCCCAGAATGTGGTCTATCTTGATGAATGTTCTATGTGAGCCTGAGAAGAATGCATACTCTATTTTGTTAGATGAAGTATTCTACAGACACTAATTCAATCCAGTAGATTGATAAATTAGTGAAGCTAATCTGTGATGATTAATTTTATGTTAAAGTTGAGTCATAGTGTCCAGATATATAGTCAAACATTATTCTGGGTCTGCCAGTCAGCTTTCTGTCATGGGGACAGAATACCTAAGGAAAGATTTATTTTGGCTCACAGTTTCAGTCCACGGTCACTTGGATCCACCATTTCTGGGCCTATGGTGAGGCAGTCTATAATGGAGGGAGGACATGGTAGAGAAAAGCTGCTGACCCCATGACATTCATTACAGGGACTGGGGAACGGAGCCAGGGACAAGATGCAAGGATGTTCCTTCATGGACTACTCCCTCCAAATAGGCCTATCTCCTTAAGTTTCCACACCTTCTAACAGTACCACCAGTTGGGGACCACGCTTTCACCACATGAGCCTTTGGGGGACAAACTGTAACACTGGGTGTAAGGGTATGTTGAATGACATTAGTATTTAAATTGGTGGACTTTTAATAAATACACTGCCCTCCACAGAGTGTCTGGGCCTCTTCCAATCAGTTGAAAGCATGAGTAGAACAAAAATTCTGACTTCCTCAGAGCAACAGGGAATGCAGCAGCACAGACTTGGGACCTGAATCACTCATGGGTCTGAGGCCTGTTGACCCACTGTGCAGATTTTGGAATTGTCGGCCTCCATAATCGTGAGCCAATTCCTTAAACACCTTCCCCCCCACCACCACCACACACGCTGTTATTGGTTCTGTTTCCCTGGAGAACCATGACCAATACAGTGCACTTCCTGGCTGTGTCCACTACAGTTAGAGGGGTGTTAAAGTCTCCAACCATAACAGCTGATTCATCTAATTTTCCTTATATTTCTGTTAGTTTTTACCTCACATATTTGGTACTCTGTGCTAGATGCATACAAGTTGGTATGTCTTCTTAGACAACTGAATCCTATTTATTCCTGAAAGTTTTCTTTGTTCTGTAGTGTATCTGAAATTAATACAACCACTCTTAATTTTCTTTTGCTAGCAAGGTATATCTTTCTGCATCTCCCTCACTTCTATATGTGGTAAAATATATATAACACAAACTTTACCATTCTAACAATTTTTAAGTATATAATTCAGTGCTCTTCAGTACTTTCACAATGTTGTGCAAGTTAACACTACCATCAATTTATAGAACTTTGAGTCATCCTAAACAGAAACTCTGCACCCATTGAACACTAATCCTTTCCTCCCTCCACTGCCACTGGTAATCTCTATTCTACTTCCTTTTTTCTAAGGATTTCCCTCCAGTAGTTTCACATATGAATAGAATCATACAATAGTTGACCTTTTTTGTCTTCAAGGTTCACCCATGCTGTATCACGGATCAGAATCTCATGACTTTTAAAGGCTGAATAGTATTTGATTGTATGTATACACCACATTTTTGTTGATTTATTTATTTGTCTGTTAGTGGACACTGGTCTAGAACTATATGCTTGAGTCCTTGCTTTCAACTCCTTGAAGTATATACCCACAAATGAAAATCCTGAAACATATGGTAACTATTTTTACTTTCTGAGGAATTGCCAAATTGTTTTCCAGTGCAGTGCACCATTTAACACTTCCACGACCAATATCCAAAGATTCCAATTTCTCCATATCCTCATCCCTTGCCATTGCATATTTTGTTTTGTGTTTTAAGTACTAGCTTCCTAGTACTAGTGGGGAGCTTATCCTGTTACTTTTAATCTATTTGTATCCCTACTTTTAAGGTGGGTTACTTATGACAACATATGGTTGGGGATTGTTTATTTTTAATTCACTCTGACAGTCTTTTAATTGGTATATTTAAACCATTCTCATTTAAAGTAATTATTGCTATAGTTAGATGAAGACCTACTTATTTTAACTGTTTATTGTCCTCATTCTTTCTGTGTGTGCTTCAGTCATTTCTGCTCTCTGCTTTTGAACATTTTATGAGTTCAATTCCTTTTCTCTATTGGTATACCAATTGTACTTTTTAAAAAATTAGTATTTGTCTTGGAATTTTCAACATACATTTAAAGCTAATCCGAGTCTATTTTTAACTAACACTATCACTTCCCAGGCAGGGCAAGTATTGTACATAACACAATCGTTTCTCACTCCTGTTACTCTTAATGTTGCTATCATTCACCTATCCATGACCTATAATCATTAAAAACATTATTATTATTATTATTTTGAGCAATCACTAAGAGTAAGAAACGATTTTCACTTTACTTTCATTTATTCCTTTACTAGCTTATTTATTATAAATGCTTCCCTTCGTGTAGAACCACGTTTCAGACTTGTATTTTATTTATTTATTTGTTTGTTTGTTTATTTATTTTTGGTACCAAGGACACTTCAACCACTGAGCCATATCCCTAGCCTATTTATTTTTTATCTTGAGACAGGGTCTCCATAGGTTTTTACAGCCTCACTAAGTTGCTAAAGCAGGCTTCAAACCTGCAATCCTCCTGCCTCAGCCTCCCAAGCCACTGAGATTACAGGTGTGCGCCACCAGGCCTGGCAGACCTATATTATTTCTCTTCTCTCTGAAGAGCTTCAATATATCCTGCAAGTCATGCCTACAGAGTCAAATTTCCTAAATTTCTTTTTATATGAGAAAGTCTTTCACTTGTGAAGGATAATTTCAATGGAGGTAAAATTCTAGATGGATAGTTTTTCTTCCTTTGAAAACCTTTAAATATTTTGCTCTATTTCTTGCTTGTATGGTTCCTATAGAGAAGTCTGATGTAATTCTCATCTGTGTTCCTCTGTAGATAAGGTGTTTTCCCTCTCTGGCTTGTTTCAAAGTTTTCTCTTTGTCTTTGGTTTTCTGCAGTTTGAAAACTATATGCGTAGGTGTAGATTTTTGTTGTTTGTTTGTTTTGTATTTATCCTCCTTGGTGTCCTCTAAGACCAATTTTTGTCATCAATTTTTGCCAATCACTAGTTCTTCTGACTTCCCATTGCATGTATGCTACATCTCTTGCAGTTGTCCCAAAGTTCTTGGGTATTCTGTTCCGTTTTGTTCATTCCTCTTTTTCAGTTCCAGAAGTTTCTGAAACTTACCTTCAAAATCACTTGACTCTTTGCTTAGCTGTGCCCAGTCCACTAACAAGTCCTTCATTACTGATTTATGTTAGAGTAGTTTTTGTTTGTTTGTTTGTACCAGGGGCACTTACCAACTGAGCCACATCCCCAGTCTTTCTTTAATTTTCAGATAGGGTCTTGCTGAGTTGCTCAGGACCTCGCTAAGTTACTGAGGCTGGCTTTGAACTTGCAATCCTCCTGCCTCAGCCTTCTAAGTCACTGGGACTACAGGTGTGTGCCACTGTACCTGGCTTGTTAGAATGTTTTTGATTTCTATCATTTCCCTGGATTCTTTCTTACAGTTCCCACCTATCTGCTTCTATCACCCATTTATTTTTTGCACGTCGTCTATCTCTTCCGTATCTAAGTCTGGCTCTGTCCGATGTTTGCTTTGCCTCTTCAGACTGTAATTTTTTTGTTGAAAGTTAGATATGATATATTGGGTAAAATGAACAGGTAAATAGGCCATTAGAAAATGAGGTTTTATGTTTTATCTATCTAGAGTTAGGCTGTGATTACCATTTGGCATAGATGTAGGCGGCAGAGACAAAGTTCCCCCTCATGGTATTGCTTTTGCCTCCTGTAATGCCTGTGGATTTCCCTAAAGACTTTACCTCAGACATGCTAGAATTTACTGCTGAGCCACACCCCAGCCTCCTAGAGACTTCTTAAATAGGGTCTTAGTCTTGCAGTTCTTCCTGTTCTGATCTCTTTAGTATATAGGAGCCTAACTGATGTGGTGATCAAGTGTCAGGGAATGATAATCTATAATTCCATGGCTAGGTCAGTCTTTGTGACCTTCAGAAGTACTTGTTGTCTGTCCCTCCTCAGATAACAATAGGGAGACTGATTCATGTTGGAATTTAATCCCTAATGCCATGGTATTAAGAAGTAGGGCCTGTAAGAGGTGATTAGGCCATGAGAGCTCTGCCCTCATGGATGGGATTAGTGACTTTATAGAAGGGCAGGAGGTCAACTAGCCAGGCCCCCTTTTTGCCCTTCCCTTCTCTCCCTTCCTCCATGTGAGGACTGAGTGTTCTCTCCCTCTGCAGGGCACAGCAACAAGGTACCATATTGGAAGCTAAGACCTCACCAGACACTGGACCTGATGTCTTTATCTTGGACTTTCCAGCCAGAACTTTGGGAAATAAATTTTTGTTCTTTATAAATTACCCAGTATGAAATTTTTTTCTTTTATTTATTTATTTTGCCCAATAAACAGAGACACCTGGCTTCCCAGTGTAGATTTAGCCAAAGCTTGGTCAGATTATGCTCTGAGCCAATGAGGCTTCCACTGTCTATTGATGGATGGAGGCCTGGGCCAGGGCACACCATCTGACCTCAGGTCACTTCCAGGTCTATCTCAGCCTTCACATCCTGTTGGGACTTCTTTCATGTCCTCTGCATACACATGTGTGTTGCTGGCTGGAGTGTGAAATGGCTGGAACCCATCTGGCCTTTGCCATGTATGTGTGTAAATGCTTTGGATCAACTTGTGACATGTGATAAGCTTACCAAGTTCCCTATTGGTGTCTCCACTTCCAAAATTCCACACTAAATCCCGAACCATTCCTCACTCCAACTAGGACAAAACTTCAGGCCAACAGGACTGCTGGCACCTCTGTTCATCTACCATATAAGATTAGCAGGGTTGGTTTTTTCCTAAGGCCATCCTCTCCTGTGTCTTCACATGGTTGATTGTGTGTGTGTGTGTGTGTGTGTGTGTCCCCTAATCTCTTCTTGTAGGACATCAGTCAAACTAGATTAGGGCCCATCCATATGACTTGATTTCTACTCAATTACCTGTGTAAAGGACCTATATACAAATACAGTTACATTCTCAAGTTCTGGAGGTTAGGGCTTCAATCTATGAGGAAATGGGGGTTGTGGTACATACAGACTATTTTTTCCTAACAGAATTTTAAGGTCCTCTAAGCTTCCTTAGGAACTGCATATGTTCCATCTGGAAACACAGACCCCCTACCTGCAGTATCTGGGAAGGGCTGGTATCTGCATTACTATCGTTTGGATTTGGAATGTATTAAAGGCTTGACCCTCAACCTATGGTGCTCTTGGAAGGTGGTGGAAACCTTAAGGGAGCCAAAATAACCCTTTCTCTTCATAAATTTCCTATCCTGGGTATTTGTTACAGTAACAGAAATCTAATACAGGCACCCTGGACAACCCTGAGCATCATCAAGGAGCCCAGAAATACGCAAAGGGAGGCCTCCAGGCAGTGCTGGTAGGTGGACATGTACTGCGCTTAGGGGATCCTGAAAATGTTTAATTTATTTGAAAATCACGAGAAAGATGAATGTAACACTGAACACATAAAAATGAAATCAAGCCTGAGTTATATTCATCTTCACTTTAATGCAGTCATAAATATTACTTAGTATGTTTATGAAGGAAGGGGCTATAATTTTCTTGTATATCTTTGTCTTTGGTGTGAGGGTAATACTGGCCTTAGATATGAAATGTCCTCCTCTTATTTCTTAGAAGAGTTTGAAAAGAAGTGTTAATTCTTCTTTTAAGGCTTAGTAGAACTCATGAGGTTAGTCATCTGTGGTCCTCAACTTTTCTTTGCTAAAAGATTTAAAAAAAATTTTTTAGTTGTTTGATAGACCTTTATTTTATTTATTCATATGTAGTACTGAGAATCGAACACAGTGTTTCACACAAGTCAGACAAGTGCTCTACAGCTGAGCCACAACCCTAGTCCCTGCTAGAAGATTTTTTTAAGACTATTTTTTTAGAGAAGTTTTAAGTTTATGGCAGAGAGGAAAGTACAGAGTTTCCCACAGACTCCCCACCTCCACCCACACACAACTTTCAACATCTGCATCAATGACACATTTGTCATAACTTATGCACCCACAGCGATAAACTATTACCAAGGTCTATAGTTTACAGATAGGGTTCACTCCTGGTGCTGTACATTCTATGGGTTTGGACAAATGTATAATTCCAAGTTTTCACAGTAACAGTATTGGATAGAATGGTTTCACTGCCCTAAAATCCTCTGTGCTCTGCTTATTCTTCCCTCTCTCACTGCTAAGCCCTGGTAACCACTGATCTTTTTACTGTTTCCACAGTTTTTGCCTTTTCCACAAGTCCATAAAGGTGGAATCAAACACTGTGTCACCTTTTCAGATGGGCCTATTTATTTATTTGGTACTAGGGATTGAACCCACGAATGCCCTTCTTTTTATATTGAGGCAAGGTCTCACTAAGTTGCTGAGGCTGGGCTCAAACTTGCAATCCTCCTCAGTCTCCCAAATTGCTGGGATTACAGGAGTGCTGGCTCCTGCAATCTGCACCCCCACTAAATGAATGGCTCCATGTCGGGCTCCAGACTGGCTTCCTTTAAATGGTAATATGCACTTAAGCTCACTTATTTTTCATCAATGAATAACATTCCATTGTCTTAATGCACCACAATGCATTATCCATTCATCTACCAACGTATTCCATTTTCTCTTGCTGTAACTAATATCGCAGACTGGATAATTTATTAAAAAAACAAATTTACTTAGGCATTTTGCATTGCTACCAGCCATGGCTGAGGATCCCCTGCAAATCCTTGACATCATTTGGTGATGTTAGAATTTCAACATTTGCCTTTCTCATAAGTGTACAGCAGTATCTCACTGTTTTATTTACAATTCTCTAATGGCCTAAAGGTGAACATATGGCTATTTGCTATCTGTATATTTTCTTTGGTGAAGTGTCTTTTCAGGTCCTTTGCTCCTTTGTAATTGGGTCATTAGTTTCACATTGTTGATTTTTATGAGTTCTTTGTATATTTTAGTTAACAGACCTGCATCAGACACAGCTTATGCAAACACTTTCTCCCAGTCTGTAGCTGTCTTCTCATTTTCTTAACAGTATCTTCACAGAGAAGATGCTTTTTAATTTGAAAGAATTTCAGCTTATCAATTCTTTCATGGATTTTTCCTTTTGTGTTTTACTTAAAAAGTCATTGCCATTCCCAGGGTCATGGAGATTTTCTCCTATATTACTGTCTAGGAGTTGCATAGTTATATAGTTTTGCATTTTACATGTAGGTCTGTGATCAATTTTGAATATTTTTAAAAAGTCTTTGTTTACATTCTTTTAAAAATATATTTTGGCATATGGGTATCCGGCTGTTCCAGCACCATTTGTTCTGAAGGCTGTCTTCTCCTGTGTCAAGATCGGCTGACTAATGTGGATCTATTTCTGAGTTCTCTACTCTGTCTATTCTTTTGCCTCACCACACTGTCATGATGACTGTAGCTTTACTGTTGACCTTTGACGTCAGGTACTGTCAGTCTTCTGTTCTCCCTCAATATGGAGTTGGATGTATTCTCCACATGAACTTTAGAATCAGTTTGTCGATGTTCACAAAATGTCTTGCTATGATTTTGAATGGGATTGCATTCAATGTATAAATTGAGTTGGAAAAAAACATTGTGACAGGGCTAAGTCTTCTTATCCACATGGAATTTCTCTGCATTTATTTAGTTCTTTGATTTCATTAGTTTTCTAGTTTTCCTCATAGATTTTGTATATATTTTGTTAGATTTATACCTAAAAAAAAGTATTCATTTGTGGGGGGGAATACTAATGTAAACGGCATTGTGTTTTTAACACCAAGTTCCACTGATTCATTAACTGGTATATAAAAAAGCAACTCATTTTTGTATCTTAACCTTGTACCCTATAATCTTGCTATAAACACTTATTCTATATTTTTACTGATATTCAGATTTTCTACATAATGTCATCTCCAAAGACAGTTTTATTTCTTCCTTCTCAACCTATATACCACCCTTCCATCTCTCCCTTTCACTTCCTTTATTTTTTTCTTATTGCCTTGTTACAACTTTTGGTACAATGTTGAAAAGTGAAAAGTGTTAACAGGGGATACCCCTGTCCTGTTCTATCTTAGCAGGCAAAGTTTGTCTCTCACAATTAATTATGATGTTAGCTATCTGGTTTTTGTAGATGTTCTTTATAAAACTGGAAAAGTTCCCCTCTATTCCTATTTTACCAAGATGGTGTGATTTTTGTTGTTTAAATCAAGAATGGGGGTTGGGTTTTGTTAAATGCTTTGTTTGTATTTATTGAATCTATTCATATTTTCTTCTTTAGCTTGTTTATGTGATCAACTGAATTAAGTGACTTTCTACTTCCAAACCAAACTTGAACACCTGGGATAAAAGTTCCTTGGTCATGGTGTATTAATATTTTTTTTGTTGATGATTTTTGGACTCAGTTTGCAAATGTTCTGCTGATAATTTTTGCATCTCTATTCACAAGAAATACTGGTATGTTTTCTTCTCTTTTCAAATCTTTGTCTGGTTTTGGTATTGGGATAATGCTTACCTTTCCTTCTGCTTCTATCTTCTGGATGAGTCTGTAGTGCACTGGGGTAATATCTTCCTTAAAATGTTTGATATAATTTACCAGTGAACCCATCTGGGCGTAGTTCTTAATGCTTTGAAGGTTATTAACTCTTGATTTAATTTCTTTAATAGATATAGGCTTATGCAGATTGCCAATTTCTTCTTGTGTGAATCTTGGCAGATTATTTCAAGAAATGAGTTCATTTTATTAAGTTATCAAATTTGTGGGCATAAGTTGTCCATTTTATTTTTTTAGAGAGAGAATTTTTTAAAAATATTTATCTTTAGTTTTTGGTGGACACAACATCTTTATTTTATTTTTATGTGGTGCTGAGGACCGAACCCAATGCCTCGCGCATACCAGGCGAGCACATTACCACTTGAGCCACATCCCCAGCCCAGTTGTTCATAATATTATATTGTCCTTTTAATGTCCACATAATCTGCAGTAATGTCTCCCTCCTTCATTTCTAATACTGGTACTTTGTATTTTCTTTTTGTCTTAAGTAGTTATTAGACATTTGCCTTTTTTTCTTTTTAATCTTTTCAAAGAACTAGTTGGTTAATTTCCTATTTCCAATGACATGCATCCAATACTATAAATTTCTCTCTAAGCACTGCTTTAGCTACATCCCACAAAATTTGATAATCTGCATTTTCATCATTTAGTTCAAAGTATTTAAAAATTTCTCTTGAGATTTCTTTTTTAAGCATATGCTACATTTAAAGATTTCTTTTTAAAATATTTATTTTCTAGTTTTTGGTGGACATAAACTCTTTAT